TTCATTTCAATAAAGATTTACTGAGACTTTAGAACCTAAAACCACATTATTGGCTTGGATATCAGGCTTGAGAATGTAAGGGGTTATAAAGACTTCCATAGACAGGGAAGACTGGAAGCCAGGATTTAGTCTGATATTGTAAGTGAGCCACATGGGGAACACCTATGAACATGTACACACACACACACAAGATTTCCTGCTGGGAACAACTCTGTGACAGGAATTAGCATACCAAGCCCCTGAAACTTGGTTTTATGATTCTATTTATGATGAAAAAGAACCAGAGCTCCTAGAGATGTAGCTATTCCTGGGGTTAGAGTAAACAAAGAATAAGAAAGACTAAACCACCTTATACAAGAAACAAGGAATAACACAAGAATGGAATCCAGGAATAACACAGGAATGGAACACTAAAGCCAAATCCATGGAGCACACTAGCAGGAAACAGACTAAAACCAATGGGTGATTCTAATGTGTCTGATTACCAAAGAATACCAAAGAATGTGTTGCTGGTCAAGTGGAGAAATCTGAGTGAAATGCAAAGACTAGGTAGTTGTAATGTATACATGTTCATGTCATGATCTGAATGATTATTCTATAGACATGGGAAAACAATCTTATCTCTAAGAAATATATACTAAAGCATCAGAGGGACAGGGGACATCAGGTAAGGAAATAACTCTCAATAGGCTCAAGGGGGAAGGCATTTGCTTTGCTTCTTTGCTTTTTGGTTTGTTTTTTTGTTGTTGTTTTTTGACAGGAACTTTTGCTATATGTTGCCCAGGCCGATCTCAAACTCATACACCTCCTGCCTCCAGATGGAAAGATGTAAGCATGCACCACCATCTGGCCAATCTCTTTATGAAACCACACCATGTTCTACATCATTTTGTAGAGACCATTAACACTGTGTTATTGATTTTATGTTAACACTATAACATCATGAATATAAAAGAATGGGGACTATTCCATATTCGCTTCAATAGAAAAGCAAGAGAAGCTATAAATTCACCATGAAAGAAAAAGACAAAAGTGGGACTGGCAAGATGTCTCAGCAGGTAAAGTACTTTACCACCTAGCCTAAGGACCTGAATTTATTCCACAGGACTCACATGGTAGAAAGAGAGAACTGACTCCTGCAAGTTATCCTCTGACTTCCGTATGCAAGATGCTCTCATGTACACACATTAAACAATTAAGTAAATGTAATAAAAACACAAAAACTCCTAAGAATCGAAGTTTAGCCAGAAAATAGCCTCATGAAACACAAATCAAATCTTTAACGTAAAATATTGAAGGGTAAGTTAAATGAGACTAAGATCATACACATAATTAATTAAAGATTACTTTTACAATCCCTAAGTTTCCTCTGAAACTCAAAGACAATACATATCAAATTTGGTATTTTTCACTTCCCTTTCTATTTCTGAATAACAAAAATTCCAAAATTTATTACAATCAATGGAATTCATAAAGTCACATAAATTACTAAGAGTCTCATAAGACCCAGTGCACATTTAAATCCCAGTGATATCTATCTGCAATCACCAGGACAACAACCCAAATACAGCCACTTGCCTCTAAGAAAAGAGAAGACTCATTTGAAATAAAAATATGTCAGCATCATCAAATGGAGGCCTGAGTGTTTGTTAGTGTCAAGTAATCTGCTTCTAAAGTGAAATAGCTGGTTTAAATAAGGAGTTACGCTGGCCTACTATTTGAAAACAAGGCAAGGTTGAAAAAACACAAAACTCAACATGTTCCGAATGGACTGCTTAGAACACCTCCTTGGCCATCCTGTTTTAATCACTCTAGGAAGGCTGGGAGCTCAAGTCCTCAATCCCAGAACTCTGGGAATGTGAATAAGGATCTCACAGTACATGCTAACTTAACCTGGGGTACATAGCAAGACAAAGCCTCCAATTTTTTAACTTTCCTTTTATTTATTCTTTATGCCTTTTGCATCATGCATCTCGATCCCATTCATTTCCCTGTCCCTTCATATCCACCCTATATCCTTGCAGCACCCCTCCCCAAGCAAAATTTATGAGGAAAAAAGAAAGGGGAAAAAAATCTCATAATGAAAGCTATAGTGTGATACAGTGAGTCACACAGTAGGCCCTTTTGTCCATGCGTCTTTATTTGCAAGTGTTCATTGCAGAGTCATGGGTCTGGTTTGAGGCCTCTGAGTCCTGCTACACTATCGATGATGGGTCCTCACTGGAACTTGTCTTATTTATCCTGTTGTTGCCCTGTACTGTGGAAATCCTGCAGTTTTGGGTATGCATGACTGGCCCCTTCATATGCTCCAGCAGACCACAGATGGGGTGGATATTGGGGTGGGCCAACTCATGAGCCTGGTTCTGGGCCTGGTGGTTGCAGGATTGGTCAGTCTGCCAGCTCTCGCTCGTCCTCACCACCAGGGTGAGCAGGGCTGGGTCTCCCACACCTACACCTTCAGGGCCAGCTCTACTGTGTTGCTCAGGCATAGCATAGGGGCCACTCTCCCACCACCCTGAGTACTGCATCAGATGAAGGGCAGGGCCAGCTCTCCAGCTCTAATGCCCTCAGGGATAGCTCTCCCATGGCTCAGGCATTGATGAGGGTGGGGTATTTCTGTCCTGTCTCACATGGCAGGTGAGTAATGGCTCTTCCATGTTCACAATATCAGGGCTGAATCACCCACACCTCTGTCAACAGGCAGGCTCTACTGTGCTGCCCATGAGAGGTGCAGGGTGAGGTGCAGTGCCTGCTCTCCTGAGTGTTGTAGCTGGTGGTGGGCAGGGCCAGCTTTCCCACCTGCCTCAGGCACTGATGGGGGGCACACAATCTCCCCCATGCACAAGACCCAAGGCTAAATTCACAACACGACTGGTGGGTGGTTTCCTCTAAACTGCGTCAGTAGTGACAACCAGCTACAATCTAGAGAAATGTCCCTTATAGTAACCTGGACTGGAATTAACACTGTTGCAAAGCTCAAGAAGAGAAAGAGCATGCTAAAGTTCATTTGGAGTTAGGTTACAAGTATTGACAGGAATTATTTAAACAAAGGAAAAGAAATTGGAAAAACAGAAAAAGGAAGACACTTAAAAATAGTAAGATGTCAGAGTAAAGTACATCCTTGGTTAAAAGAAAAAAACAAAACTATTTTAAAATAAATTATCTGCTAAAGATCAAGAAGGTTTACTGTAAAAGGGAGGGAAATTTACAAATAAAACTGACAAACTATACTGATATCTGGGCACAAACAGGGAAGACAAAATACATCAGCCAAGACAGGGCAGTTCAGTTAAGACCAAACAGTTAAGTGATGTATCATGAGAACAAAGGAAGCTGAAAATATTCAGAGGAAAAATATGAACACCCATCCAAAACAGTAGGTCCACTATCAAGGCAGACCTCAACATGCTGCTGGTGATCCTCTATCCTTCCTCAGACCATCTTCTCCTTGCACCAGAAAAGAAAAATGTCAAAATTGGGCATGGTAGTGCACACCTTTAATCCCAGCTTGGGAAGCAGAGGGAAGCAGAGCTCTATGAATCTGGAGTCACCCTGCTCAACACACAGTTGTGGGACTATCTGGCCTACACAGTGAACCCCAGACTCAAAAGTCAGAGAGGAAAACGAGGAGTCACCATCTTGTTCTGAAGTACAGTGTGAATACTCCTTGCTTCCTAACTGTTATTCTCAAGCACAGTAACCAAAACACACTCGTGGATTTTATCACCAAGGTCATCCATGTACATTCTAAACTGTAGAGAGGGCCTTCTGTCCGTTATGATACTGAACCTTTAAAAACTGTGTCCTAAGTGGCCTACTACTGCCATCTACTGGAAAAAACATTGATAAACACTTCAATTACACATTTAAAAGGCCTCTTAATAAAGATTATAGTGAGTCTTAAACTGTAACTTGGACCTGGTCAGATGAAGATACTCTGTAAACTATATACACAAAGGCTTCTTTATGTCTGTGAAACCTAAAAGTCTCTTGCAGAACATCGTGTTTCTCCATGTCACAGGCTTATATGGATATAGAAAGTTTATGCTGCCTGAAAAGCCAGTTAGAATGTTACCTATCTACAAGCCAATTTGATTGCATGAAGATTTCTATTTTATATGCTAATAATTACACTGAGCCATTTAAAATATACCAGCTAAATTTTACGCGTGTGTCATTATCCATGTTACTTTTAATGCTTTGTAAAAGAGCTATGCATTAAAGCCCAGCAGCTCCTCTGGTTCCCACTTTCTAGAAACGGATTACATTTCCTATTCCCTGAGTACTTACGTGGGACCACAGACAAGCTCTGATTACCAGGCTGTGAATGACAGCACCTAGTGCCACTTGCAGGCCAAATAGAATACTCAAGAGTATAGCTGTCAACACTGTCTTCTTCTATCACAGGAATATGGGGCTTCAAAGACAAGGTCAGGCTCAGGGTCAAAGCAGCTTAGGTCACTAAAGGCAACTATCCTGGAGAGGTGCCCAGACTTGGTAAAAACAAGAGCCAAAACCTTCCATTGAACTAAGCCACACTGAGTTGTGGTAGAATGGTAGTACAGCCTACCACAGGGTTTGCCCACAGCTAGTGCTTGGCCATGGAGCAATGTTTCCATCAGGTCTCCTTCCTTTCTGTGGAACACTAGTGTTAGCACCATCCCTGACCTCCCTTCACCAAGTGGCACTTCTTAGTACAACTAAAATCATCTACCAGTCATACCCTTCACTTCCCTAAAAGACAGGTGAATCTGACCAATACCGAAAGCACAAATGCCTGGGTGTATAATGAATTGTGTGTGTGTGTGTGTGTGTGTGTGTGTGTGTATTAAAGTCGTGTCACATATTCTTGATGTTTTAGTTATACATTTTATAAGCCATTAACATACAAGTATGTCGTTAAATAAGAAGGTTGATTTCAAGGTTTAAAGTATTTATCAGTGTCATGTAACTTTCTATAATAGAGTAAAACTCGAAATGGGGCACAAATCCATACATACTATGCTGTTCATTTCAGAGGACTCATAGCTGCCAACAGGATGGACAGTTCCGATGGGTTCCAGGCCCTCTTCATCCCACATGTATGTTCCATCAGAGCTATCGGATGGAGAGAGTTCAAATGAAGACCCAGCTCTGTAATCCGTATCTGGTGAAATCAAGTTATTTCCAGAGGTATGCTTTGTACATTCACTCCTGTCTTCAAATGATTTTAAAAGAAAGGAAAAAGCATAAATTTAAAAAACAGTCATTTCTCATTTCTAAAGTATATGCTTTAATAATCCAATGTATTATAACAGCATTTGATTCAAAAACTGTAACTGTAGCATTTTTCTAAATTCTAAACAAACAACAAAAAAGCAGGCAAAGTTTTAAAAATAAGCTGCCGAACCACTTTGTAATAAACATAAAACTCACTTGCAACATTTCTCATATCCTCACATTTCTTTAATATTTCCCAAAATGCTGAATTTTAAGCACCATTCAGGAAATTCTCTTTCTCTGTGAATTGTTTAGCCTCACAGATGTGTCCTGAACAAGAAAAAATGTGTTCTAGACGTCTTCCATTTTGGAAGAGCTGCAGACTACAGGAGTCCAGCGCATCACTCTGTGTGACTAAGCATGCCTTTGTGCACTCCCTTCAGCATTCATTTTTCAGGATAATTGAACAAATAACCTTCACTCTGCACTAAGTACCAATACAGCCAAGTCTAGGAAGAGATGTTTAATAGGCACTCTCCTCAGTAATATTAAGTAAATAATGCTACACTGAAGTATCACCATAAGGACTGCTGACCAAAAACGTTCCCTAGGAGAGAAAGCATTCAACTGAATACAACCTGTTATCTGACTGGTGTTTGCTACAGCTTTACTCTTAGCGGACTGCACTGATGGCTACAGTGAATGGTAATGCTCAATGGCAAGTAATTCCAGGCAGAGCAGAGAAGACCACCTGAAAAGCACAGCTATACTACATGGGAATAAGTCTGAAGAAGACAGCCCCTAAAACAGCAGAGTCTGAAGAGTTTGGACTGTTTCTATCCTAGACAAGATGAAAGCAGGATCGAGACAAGCCACAAGGTTGATGTCCTGATGCGCCGCTTTTATCTAGACTGAGTCTTCTCCGTGAAACAGCATTTTGGAATCTATCACAAGACAATCCTAAATGTTAGCTGCTATAGTCACTAGGAGGAAGCACATAAATTTAAGGCTATTCATACTTACCAGAGACACTTATATCAATCCACTCATCAGCTCTGCTGAAGATCTGTTCATTTTCCTTAGGAGAATCAAATATATCTTTTGATGGTCCATTTTCACACTTTTCTTCTTTGAGAGTAATTTCCTCTGGAGTTATTCTAGTTCGGTTGGAGTCCTCTAAGTCTATAAAGTCATCACTGAAATCTTCACTTAAATCATTCTTATCAGAAGATGACAAAGATGACAAGGAAATATCATCCACATCATCACTCAGGTACCTAATTTTAGACTCATGCTTCATGGTCTTATCATTGTCTGTTCGATAGCTTTCATTTTCAACTAGTTCTTGGTCTTTACCGGTAGAGTCATCCTTCGCCAAAACCATAGCTTCTTCTTCTACACACATGTCAGCAGGTGAATTTTTATTACTATCAACTGTCATAGTCCCAGAAAATGGAGTTCGGCCAGATTTCAGTAGAGAGGGATGAACCATCCTATAACCCAACGTGGAAGATACACCTGGGCCATTGGATAAGGCCAATTTCTTTCCACCAGCAGCATAAGGTCTATTAAAACCAAACCCCAAGTGCTCATTCCCATTGAGTACTTCTGACTGCCGAGAATTTCTTGTGAGCATACCTGACCGGAGAGGCACTCGAACGGGTAGCTGTTGGTTCTGATAAGGCTTTGTAAGGTCTACAGCTCTGTTGAAGGAATGTGATCTGGTTATAGATGAAGGCGGGAGGAATGAATTCTGAATGGAATGTGAAAAACTTTGTGACCTTACCATTTTTTCACAAGTAATAGATTTAGTGTTGTCTGGGGACTGTGCTAAACTTTCACCAGAACTACTTCTGGTGGCACAGGAGTTCACTCTTGGCTTCTGCATGTTACCGGGTGATTGGTTCCTATAAAACGTATTCAAATGTGACTTCGCATTGACCGAAGAATATGAAGTCCTTCCTAGAAATGTGCCTTTGGTGAATTTGCCCAAGCTAGATGGTCCAGAAAAGGATTTTTGATTTAACTCCTCTGTAGATGACAAAAGCATGGTGGACGGTCTTGCTAACTTGGATGTGAACAAAGAAGCACTTTTCAAGCCTCCCTTTATCCCATTCCCATCCGGTGTTCCTGGAGCAGGAGCATGTTGCTCGGGATCAATTAGTTTACCATGTGCACTCTGAATACTATTAAGTTCTGCTGTATTTTGTGAACCAAGTTGGTATTTATTTGCTTGTCTCCAATTAAATGAATGGGACAATGAACAATCAGAGCCATTATTTTTGATGTAACTTTTGACATTACTGTTCTTGGAAGTCCCTAATAAAGTCACAGTGGCCCCATTTGGCACTGGCTGCAGTGTACTTCTCACAGATTTTGTTCCATATTTTGGCAGCCTGGAACCCAAAAACGTCTTGATTTGTGTTTTTTCTTCCATGAGCTATAAGGTACATTTGTTCTTAAAACTTGACAGAATCTGTGGGGAGAAAAAAAGGAAGATTAAACATTATTAAATAAGTATAATTACATGGATCTAAGTATGTACTTATTAATTATATGCAGAAAATTACTCATAATTCCTATATAAAATAATCAAGATTTTAAGATAAATTTAATCTTGAATTTTTTTAATTTTAAAGATCTTTATTATATATAGTGTTCTACCTGCATGTATGCCTGCAGGCCAGAAGAGGGCACCAGATATCATTACAGACGGTGTTGTGAGTCACCGTGTGGTTGCTGGGAAATTAATTGAGAACCTGTGGAAGAGCAGCCAGTGCTCTTAACCTCTGAAGCATCTCTCCAGCCCCAAAATCTTTAATAAACATAGTACATCAAGACTGAGAAATTAAAGTGTTTTGTAGACCTATGCTTGGTGGTGGCTACTTTGAGCCATTAATGTACTAAAAGGACTGTGAGTTCAAATTAGATTCTGCAGTGGTGTCAAGATCAAGCAGCCATGATTGTCCTAAATATTAAAAGAAACAGTATCAATACCCATGCCAGACAACTGCTTTTTTCCCATTTTGATAGGGGCCTTTATCACAAAACATACTTCCATACTCACAAACACTTTCAGAATAGTTGTAGGAAAATTGGTAACAATAGTTCAGCACATGTAAATATCATTTTCAATTGCTAAGTAATACATAATAAAGATTCCATCATGTAATGTCTCCTGCCTGCAGAAGTAGACTGAGGAGATAATGCTGGCCTTTTACTTCTCCGTCCTTACTTTTGTGTCTAAAGTAAGCATGACACATGCTATTCCACAGTAGCTACTAAAAAGGAGTCGAAGGCCAGAGACACTGTCACTACAAAGTGCTTCAGGGTTTGCCAACTGTGAGGGGGAGAAATGTTAGAATCTGAATTACTTCATATAGCAATATTATGGAGTTGTAAATACACAACTAATTGCAGAACAAATAACCTGTGGTCTTAGAATGAAATCATTTCGATGTCTCATGTAGATTTCCTAAACCTGAATATCTGTGTGAGCCCTGCTATTTTCATTGGTAGTAGACCTTCTGTCTGAATACTCAGGAGACTTTGTCCTACATTTTCTTATAGCTCTCAAATAAGCAAGCATTGTGATTCTGCCTCATTTCAGAGGCCTTTGACGCACTTCACCTGGTATGTCTTTAAAAATGCAATTACTAACCATTTGAAAAAGTTCATGTTGGTTATATCTCTAATCATATAATCTGTGAGATACTTTAATAAATTCTGTTTCTGAGCTTTAATGGGGAACTAAGCATGGCTGGCACAGAGCTTGGAAATGTCTGAGATTCCCTGAGTTCATTTCCATAATATTTTTAAGTTACAGCATAATTACCAAATTGGCATGGTACATGTGAAAAACTAGTAAATCCAAGTTTCTTGGTTGAAAAGGAATCCACAGCTGAGTAAGAACTCAGAAATAGGAACAATTGCCGGACGGTGGTGGCGCACGCCTTTAATCCCAGCACTCGGGAGGCAGAGGCAGGAGGATCTCTGTGAGTTCAAGGCCAGCAGGCTGGACGGACAGCCTCCAAAACAATACAGAGAAACCCTGTCTCATAAAAACCAAAAAAAAAAAAGAAAGAAATAGGAACAATTATCATTGAACAGTACATAAGTAGCATCATGTCTATCATTTTATCACTAATTACTTAATCTCCACAATTATGGGGTGATAGTTTTTCCCATCTCCCTTAGCTAACTCAAGTCTAAAAAGTAAGATAATCTCCATAAACCACCAAAGATGATTTGGATTAACTTCTGATTTCAATGTCAGTACAGACTACCTCCAATGACAAAGGAATGAAATCTACTGGGAGGTGCGCCATCAGGGAGGGGCACGCATGAAGGAGGGGAAGTGGGAAGCTAATGTTATAGGAGAAGCATGAAGACTGCAGGGCCAGGTTGCCCCATTCTGCAAGAGAACAGTCAAACCTGCCCCTTGGCAAACTCTTTTCATGTCCATTACATTGTCCTCTAAGAAGCCACCCACTCAGCTTCTACATTTAGTACTGCAAGGAGCTTTGCAGGTTACAAACTGCTTCAATTTTAGGAATTTAATAACCAAAAATTTGCTGCTTCATCTAGAGGCAAGTAACTGAACAATGCTAATGACTAAACAGGCGTAAGCAGTCATGTCTGAAACTTGCTTTCACATTCAGACTCTCCACCATAATTTCAAATGTTCTGTTGGTTTGTTTTTAATTTGTATTATTCATTTACTTCCCCTCACATCCTCTTTGCCCGGTTTTTCCTGGCTGTCATATGTAATATAAGCTGACTCAAATGCTTGACTACAGCATAAAGAAAGGAAACCTCCAAAGATTTAAAACTGTACATTTCATTCCACAGTCGTCATAGTTTTAAAAAGAATGCACAAATTTCAATACAAAGCCCCATGATTTTATCAGCTTGAAGAAGTCCTATTACAACTTGATTTTTAGTCACATGGTACCAAACTTGTAAAAGTTAGGTTCAAGGAATCTGTAACTTAGGAACATTCATCATCTTAGTCAGTGTGAAGTCAAAGTATATTATTTGCTGAAACTTGAACTGAGAGGACAGCAAGAATACTAGCATAGAAAGTGGATCAGAGACTCTCCTGCCAAACAATACACATATTTCCTCCCAGGTGTTACCAGAGTACAGGTGTGCAAACTGTGGAGCATTAATGTCATTAATATGTTAAAGACTAGGAAAAGAATCTAATGCCACTGATGGAATAATAATCATCCCTATTAATACCTTTGTAGTTACCTGAATAAGGAAGTATACAAACAAAGCAAACAAATGCAGACTTCGTACACACCGGTGCTTATCAAATCTCAACATGCAACAGTTTAACACTGTGGTCTATTTCAGGCTTGCTAGAGCAAAGTTCCCAATTTTTAATTAAATGAGCAGTAAAGGCAGGGTCACAAAAAGTCAGGTGTTAGAAGAGAATAGTATAACATGAGTGACTTTAACAAGATTGGATGGTTACTGGGATGTGAATTCACTAGTGGCACATAAACTCTGTAGATCTGATTTAGTATATGTTACCCTAGTAAGTTTGCCCTAAGTATAATATATAATAAATACTTAAATAAGAAACATTCTGAAACCTGTGTAGTGTGGTGCAGGCCTTTAATCCCAGTGCTCAGGAAGCAGAGGCAGGCAGATCTCTGAGTTCAAGGCCAGCCTGATCTTCAGAGCAAGTTCCAAGGTAGTCAGTTCAAGGAAAAGACAGTGTTGCCTATCTGACTTTGCTTCTCACCAAATAAGTGTCAATCACTGTTGCTATTAGCTGACCTCAAACTCCAGCTTCCTCGGCCTTCCAAACTACACCTAATAACAAGACTCTCCAAGAGCTTCCACACCTTCTCCACTGGCCTGAAACTGCTAAACCAGTCAGCTTTGTGGACTGAGCAGTTTTAGACTTCTAACCTATCGAGCAAAAAAGCAATCAGTGTTGGAATATGCAATCTTTATCATGGAATACAGCCTAAAATATTTTATAATGTATATGCATTCAATTCATTCCACTTCCCTAGAGAACACTGCTAAATCCAAACAGACATGCATATAAATTTTATTTTCACAGAAAAATACATTTTAGTAGTTCTGACAGGGTCCAACACAGTAAAAAATCACCTAAAGTGAAATCCTGACACCATTAGGAATGAAAAGAAGTATATAGAATCACCTATGAAATATCCTTGCCTAAGAAACAATCTGAAGCTTGGGTCTCTAGAACTGTCACACTTGCCAGTTCACAAGAAAGGTCAGAAACAGAAAAACTATAGAGCAACACAAGACATAACCAGTTAAATCTAGACTGTGAAAATCTTCTACAGGAGAAATACTCAAGTTTTTCCTCAACAAATGAAGAGAGATGTTACAAACTAAGAAGAAACACATTGTTGGGGGATTCCTGCCTGGGTCCCATTGACGCTTTCAGCCCTCAAATAATGCACAAGACACTATATTAATTATGAAGCTGTTGGCCATTTGCTAAGGTTTCTAATCAGCTAGCTCTGACTTAATTATTAACCCATAATTACTAATATATATATTTTTATAAGGATTTACTTTCCGAGAATGCCAGACTTGCGTTCTCTCTTCCAGGGATTACATGGTGGCGACTCTCTTCACTACATTTCCCAAAATCCTCCTAGACTCCTAGTCCCATCTATCTTGCTTCCCGATTGGCCAACAGTGCTTTATTGAGATATACACAAAAGGACTTCCCCATCAACACATTAACTAAACAGAATGTGCAGAATTCAAAGGGAGGGATCCCTAATTTAAACAAATTCCCAGTAATAGAATTGGAGACTATTCAGGAAAATTAAACAAAGACTGAGTCAGAGAACACTAAGAAGTAGGGGAAGGAAAGATTAATTTGCAGCCTAGGCTGGCCTTGAACTTATAATCTGTCTCAGCTTCTCAATCAGATATAAGTTTTAATTTAGACAAAGTAGAGTTACTTCCTGAAGCTACAGAAACATTAGAAGTCTAGATGATTCTCCTCATCATTTCACTCAAAGTGAACACATGAAGGAACACTGGACTTCCCTCCAACAGTCTCTGCATATCTATCATAGCATACGCATACTACCAGCACCAGGTAGCATCTAGACATAAGCATAGTTTATGTGAATATATAACTGCTTGAACTGGTACTCAACCAAAGCTGCAAGAAATAGTGACCAGGCTGAACTAAGGTCATTTTCTGAATTTTCAAGGGCGGTTTTTACAACACATGATTTTTAACCTAATGCTATGGAAATTTGGAGTAAGATGTCTTATTTTGTAGTTAAATAATCCCCCAAATCCCTGAAAGGAAGTAAGAAACTAAAGAAGCAAGAACGCTCTCTATGAATTCTACACATCCAAATTCCACCACTTACAGGAAATAAAACATGGGCTGAAATTAAAATACATACCTAAAAATGTACATTGAATTCTCTTTCCTGGCAAAATTGTGGTATGCTT